CGCCGATCGCCGCCGGGGGAACAACGGCAATCGGATAGGTACATATTACTGTTATGACTGTCCTCAAGGGCATTTTTCAGATGACGGTCCTGAACCATCACCGGTCGGTAAGGGGTTAATGACATGAGCAGCAGCCATAAGCTATCCAGCAATACTAGTGAAATACGATCAAGAAACTGCCTCTGCAAAATGCACTCTTTAACCTTCTGAGACACACTAACGCTAAGGGAGGACAATTTGAAAACTGGTCATGACAGCGAGAGTAGCTGGAGAGCAGGCACTGGTGCAATAAGAGGGTGGTGGGGGGGGGGGGATAAGAGCCTGTTGTGCAGTAACAGCACACAGCAAGCATTGCAAGCATTGCAATTGAAACACAGCCTCAGTCACCCCCAGTGGAATACAAATCCCCAGGGCCCAGCGTGGAGTTGACACAATCACTCTGCTGCAAATGGGAAGGAAGAATGCAACTCCTCAAGTCACCAAAGCAGGTGATGGGGCACAACTGGGGGTCTTTTTGCTGGAGACCAGTTGAGGCAGTGTTGGCAAAATGGCAGCCTGCCATGGATGACTGAAAGCCGCGCTCTCCTCCTTGAAAACTTCAGAGGATTACTGGAGCAGCTTTTTATTCTGAGGCCAAGGCCACTGCTCTCACCAGCAGGGACTGAAGAGATGTCTGCCCATCTAAGCCGACAAAGAGGATATCTGAGTTGCAGAAGAGGTCATGACAATGCCATTAAGGTAGAAAAGAGCTCAGATAAAAAAAATGCAGCTTCTGCCCAGGAGCAAAGGGAAAGGAGGGGTGACCAGTGGCAACATTTATAGACAATTCCAACATATGTTACATTTATCCCACCAATCCATAACTGCCTTGAATGTCTACCTCACTAAACTGGTGCTTTTGGGCTCTCATCATAACCAGCAATTTGAGAAGTCATGATGAAGGGTTAATCTCATGTCTCAGGGGGATGACTAACTTGCAGAGCTGGGGGAGACATATAAAGCTCTTTGTATGTTGTTGCCCTTATAGTGAAGGGAGAAAGAATCAGGGAACATCTTGCTTTATGACTTCTATTAGAAACATGGGTTATTATTATGTGTAGAGTGTCTTTATATGATACCTTTATACAAAAAGAATTCCATTCTTGCTGAAAGTCTAAAGCGGGTTTAAACCAGTGGTTAATTTTGCCATTGCATGTCTTGTTAATCTACCTTTTGAAGAATCTTTATACAAGATAGTAGCTTTCCAAAATTCCACTCATACTGTTTTCTTAAAGACAAATGTGCTTATCACCTTTCTCTGGCGACTATAAATGTTTAGTTTCTTAGTGCACGTATGGTTATGTTCTCCGCGCATATTTATACACTGTAACCTGAGCATCCAGGATCTTGCAGCATATCCCATGTTCGTATATTCCCCTCCAACCCCTCTTGGCTTAAACTATAAATTCAATTCTTATTTCAGTCAGCTGGGGAGATGTGCTCTGAGAAATTGGACGTTTTAAAAACGTACTTCTTGATTACTTTTTTCCATTTCCATCATTGTGGGAAATATATTGAGATCCAATCTATGGCCAAGTATCACCATCTTGCCCGTTTATGAGCAACTATTTCCTTGGTATAAATTCCACTTGCAGACTTTCAGGAGACAAACACCCCTTATATCACTAGTCAGGGGGTTTGCATGTCACTGATGATATATTCAAGTACATTCTCAAATGCACAAAGATTAAAACTTTGTAAAAAAAAAAAAAAAGTGCCATGCTTCTGAAATAAAACATGTTCTGCTGGGACTAAAAAAAGCTGATTTATTTCCTTTGACAAACACATGGGGAGTTGGGGAATCCATTCTTACAATAAAGTGCACTCCCTTTGTTCCATTCTATGTTAGAGAGACTATACTTTCCTGAAATATAACATCATCAGTAAAGATAAAATCTTCCCACAGACTTAACAACACGCTAACTAAAGTTTTTTTTATATAGTTTAAAACTACAAATTAACCCTGTATAGTGCTGTTCTGTTGTCTCTCTGACTACAAATTGGAAAAGCCAAGTTAAGCATGTGTAAAACCTTCCTGGTTGTGTTTTTTTTCATTGTTAGTGGCAGGCAGGTTCGATAGCCTATCTATATCTAATGCACTCACACAGCGTCCCTACATTTATGAAAAAAGGAGGTCTACTTTTCAATCTTACCTTATTACAGAGAATATTTAATTTAGATGGTCTTACCTCCTGCTTTGCCAATAGTCTGGTAGAACCTGCAACAACCTACTGTGTGCAAATACACTTCAATTAACAGAGCAGAATATAGGAACTTCTAAATTAAGCACACACACATCCTGCAAGAGTTTAAAAAAAAAAAGGGAGGGGCGTGACTTCCGGTCCAATGGAGCGGTCTCATGTTGTGAGAGCTCCGTGATCGGATCGGCCTAAACAGCGACGTAAAAAGCGTCAAACAGCCTATACCACTGCTCTAAAGATACCAGAGGTAAGGGGAGCACCCCCAACCCCAACATGGCACCTCCAAAAGCCCAACGAGCATCGTAATTCTTCCGACAAGGGAAGAAAGACCGGTTTCGCTCTGACCAAGATGGCGGCGGCGGCTCCCACTCATCAACGCACACATCTGATGCAGGATCTGATAATGAGTCAAGGCAAGCCTCTACAGGTGACCTCTCTGTGTCGGAGAAGAAACTGGCAGCCATGCTCCATGAGCTACGTACCTCTATGAGAACCGACTTTCAGACAGCGGTCTCAGACATGCGCAAAGACCTCCTGGAAGTGGGAACACATGTAAACTTATTGGAGGAAAAACAGACAAACTCTGTCAAGCAAATGACGCAATAGTAGAAAAATTGCAGCAACTAGAAAAAGATTACAGGAGCCTGACGGAAAAATGGCGGACCCGGAAGACGGTTCCCGCCGCAACAACATCCGCGTGCGTGGAGTGCCGAAAAAGATAACACACAAAGAACTGACGTCCTATCTACTGCAGCTCTTTCAGGCAATTCAACCTGTCCTGGTGCCAGCAGATCTACGCCTTGATCAGGCGCACGAGTACCAAAACCCAGCAACCACGCACAAGATGTCCCAAGGGACATAGTGACTAGACTACACTACTTCAGCGCAAAGGAAGCTATACTTACAGCGCAAAGGAAGGCTTCCGAGATGCCACCCACCTACGAGGGGATATCCCTATATGCTGACCTATCTCCGACGACGATGTCCAGGAGACGGGACTTCATCAACATCACAAAGTGCCTCAGAAATCACAAAGTGCCCTACAGATGGGGATTTCCCACAAAACTCTTGACTACAGACAAAAGCCTAGCAAACGACGTCACCAAAGAGTTGAAGCTAGCATTATTGCCTACTCAGACGAGTTTCAGCTGAATCTCCATGGCCTGTGCAACCCCAAAGACCGATTTCCACGCTCTGGCACTGTGGTGACAAAAAGGGTTCTTCACCTGCACGTGAGTACAATTGCGCCCTCGCCCTTTTAAGCCCAGCTAACGTGACACTATCTCTCCCACCACTCCGTGCTTCGGACTTATTGCCCCACTCGAGAGCCAGAAACACCCTGATATGCCCCACAGGGAATAGATGAAGCGCACAAGCTGGCCTAGAACTACAATTTGCCACCGGCCTTTACCATTTCTCCCAAGGGGCTCCTGCAAGGGCCAACCAACCCTCCTCTTTCTCATCCCTTATATGTGGTTGGGCCATGAAAGGCATAAAGGCCCCACCGAATGTTGGCGAACCCCCCCCCCCGAAACTCTCTCGGGACACCACCCGCCGCTGTAGCCCCTCTCAGAGCAGTAGAGGGTGGGTCCTCCACATAATGCTTTTTAGCTATTTGCTTTGTATATACTTTGTTTATGCTATCTTTTTTTGTTACAAGTGTTGTAAGTTGTGTTATATCCCGTGCCCCAGACCTACCCCTGAGATGCTCCCTTCCTACCACAAGTTACGTACTGAGGTGCTCACTAACAACCTCATTAAGTCTTATTACGCAGAATCCACGGGGACTCCCACACCCACCCAGATGTGCCCTAGAGGCACCCTACCCCTACTGCAATGACCCCCCCCTAACAAATTTCTCTTAGTATCCCTGAATGCCCATGGCCTAAATACTCCGCAAAAACGCAGGCTGGCCCTGTCCCAACTAAGGACCCTGCATGCCTCAGTAGCATGCATACAGGAAACCCACTTTTCGACTACGAAAACCCCCAAGGTTTTCGTCCACCTCATACCCATTAGCATATCACGCCCTAGCACCTAACAAGACAAGGGGAGTTAGCATATTGTTCCACTCGGACTGGCACTTCCAATGTGAAAGGGAATACAAAAACCCTGACGGTAGGCTCCTGATTCTAGTGGGCCTCCTAAATGACGCCTATGTGACTATAGCAAATTTATACGCCCCCAACGCCAACCAATACAACTTCCTACGGAGGCACTGAGGATTGACAAACTAAAAAAGGGAAAGACGATGATCTGCGGCGACTTTAAATGTGTGTTAGACCCTGACCTTAGGCCCCAGGCTCCCACCCAAGATCCTCACTCCTAGGAGACAAACTGACGACTCTCCTCAACTTCCATGGCCTACATGACACTTGGCGGGCACTTTACCCAGCGTCTAGGGACTATACCTTTTACTCCAGGTTCATGACCAGTACTCCCGCATAGACATGTGCCTGGTCGATGTTAAAGCCCTGGATACCCTAGTGGAGGTCAATATTGCACAATCAATACACTGACACAAACATCACCACGACATGGCTAGCCCATAAGGCTGTCACGCGAGGCGCACTCATACAAATGGGGGCGAAACTGAAGCGCCAACTCTCTGAAAAAAGTGACTCCTTACTGAATGATCTAAAACTGGCTGAAACACAACACAAAGCCTCACCCACTTAACCCCATAGACTGAAGGTCCACAAAATTATTACCACATTAGAAGCACAACAAATGCAACAAGTCGAGCGAGCCATCAGAAAAATGAAAACAACCTACTACAGGCAGGGGAACAGGGCAGGTAAACTACTAGCCTCTCATCTTAAGGAAAGAACCTCCCAGGTAAAAATCCCCTATGTCAGGGATGGTCATGGAACTAAAGTTATGAACCCTAAAGCGATTGTAGACGAATTTGCTGCCTTTTACGCACAACTATACAACCTCTCCGGGGATACCACCCAGCACCAACCCACCCCTCAGAACATCACCACCTTCCTGGAGGGTATACACCTTCCCCAGCTCTCCACTGAACAGGCCACAGCACTTACAAATCCGATCGTACCCACCAAGATATCTAGGGCATTATGTGACACCCCAAGACACAAGACCCCAGGCCCGGATGGCTACTCCACTCACTACTATATTGTTTTTGAGGACCTTCTACTCCCCCATCTCACGGCAATATTCAACCACATTTTAGACACGGGCAACATACCCCCGGAAATGTTAGAAGCCACAATTGTCACACTTCCCAAACCAGGCAAATCCACAGACTCATGCGCGAACTACTGCCCGATTTCACTTCTTAATGCCGACACCCAGTTATTCACCAAGGTCCTGGTAAATAGAATCCGCCCCCTACTATATCAACTTGTCTCACCTGAGAAGTCGGGCTTTGTTCCAGGATGCCAGGTAGAGGACAACACCAGACGATCCCTGGACATAATGGAACTCATGAACTCGGACAGCTCACAGGGACTTATGATAGCACTGGGGCTATATGTCAGAGGTCCTCCGCAGGCTTACCTTCCCACCCAAATTCTTAACTGGACTCCTATCCCTATACTCTTCCCCTCAAGCTACAGTCATGAGTTCCGGATTCATCTCTAGACGCTTTGCGTTTACGAACAGCACACGGCAGGGATGCCCACTTTTGCCCCTCATTTTTATCCTTGCACTAGAGCCCCTAATCCGCAAAATCAAGGCTGACCCTAACATTGCTGGCATCCCCTCCCCAATTGGCCAACAAAAACTAGCAGTGTTTGCAGATGACATCCTCCTCTTTCTCACCAACCCCTCTGACTCCCTCCCAACTCTATTACACCTATTACAAGACTACGGCCGGATCTCTTACTATAGAAACAATGTGGCAAAGACCCAGGTGCTGTCCATGAACCTGCCCAGATCCCAACTCGAGTCTCTAAAAACACTTTACCCCTTCGAATGGTGGAAAGACACCCTCTCCTATTTAGGCACACAATTATCGCCCTCAAAACACAAGCTCATAAAGCATAATCATGGGAAACTAATGGTGGACATAGAGCGACGGTTGGAGAGCTGGGGCAACAAAAACACATCTTGGCTAGGACGCATTCATGCCATCAAAATGGACAACCTCCCACAGATTCTATTCCTTTTCAGAGCCCTTCCAATTAACCTTCCTAAGTACACCCTCTGGGCATTCCAAAGCCTCCTTAATGCACACATTTGGAAAAGAAAACCACCAAGGGTATCTCTAGCAAACATCAGAATGATCATGGGGGGGAGTAGGAGTACCCCACATAACTAAATATTACCTAGCGACAAATCTTTCCCAGATGGCACGCCTCCTGACCTCCTCAGACTACCCAATGTGGTATCACCTAGAGAGCACGTTCAGTGCACCTCTTTCCCTCGGTGACCTACTGTGGATCCCCGCCAAGGCCCAACCCCGCCATCCCAAAACCCTCACGACAACGAGAGGGTCACTTCAGTTGTGGCTAAGATGGGCCCCAAAACTGACCAGCGGGAACATAGAGGCCCTCGCCCCACTGACTAGTCTTCAGTGCCGCACTCACGACCTCCCCCTGCAGGGATGGATAGAAAAAGGGGTGACCAGAATATCACACCTCCTGGGAATTGAGGGGTTATTACCATTCCCCGACCTCCAGAGGAAATACCTTCTCCCTAACAGCGAAATCTTCACATACCTTATAAAGCATATAGTAGGAGACGTTAAAAACATAACAACACTCACGCAGCCCCATAACCAATTTGATATGCTATGCCTGGGCCAAAAAAACTCACAAAAACCACTATCCTTGTGTTACCACCGCCTACTAGACTTAGACAGACCGACAAAACAATGCCTATATAATAGTATGTTTGAGCCGCACAGATGGGTGGGGGCCATGACACTAGTGAAAAGGGCTACACATTGTATAGATCATGTGGAAGCAGCCTACAGGATGTTGCTGAGGTGGTACTATACGCCCCAAAGGCTGGCCCAAATACTAGCACTCAAGCAACGTGCTGGCGATGCAACCAACAGGAAGACACTCTAAGCCACATATTCTGGTACTGCCCTGCACTCAGCTAATACTGGCAACGAATCCAAGACCTGATAAAATCCAAAGTAGGGAAAACCCTGCTACCTACCCCTGAACATTACCTGCTCCATATGCTACCGCATGGTATTACGACTCACGAAGCATCACTAATCACCCACATCACACTAGCTGCAAAGCAATGCATAGCCGCCCTATGGAAATCCACCCTAGCACCAGACATACAGTCGGTACTTGCCAAAATGAGCCTTACTCAACAGTATGAGAAAATGTCACACACGATCAGCGGTACCCTACTGCACTATAACCGCACTTGGTCCAAATGGTAGGATGGTGGTAACACCGGGGTGACGAAAGCCAACCTCTGAAGTATGTACAATGAAGAGCATCTCAAATCCCCTGCCTTTACTATCCTCTTCCACCTCCTACTAAACCCCCTCCCCCCCCAAATAAACTAAGGGCCATAGCTACGTTGGTAAGCCTTAAAAACCTGAGACGAATGGTAGTGGATCTAACCCCACAACGTGTGTATCAGCATAGAGACTCACTGGCAGACAAACACCTGACTGCCCTGAGGACCTAGAGAATAAAGGTTCAGAGCTCAATCCCAGCACTTACCATGCACACCCGGGAGCCCTCTTCCATAATATCCCTATACACACGCATTACTCTCTACGCCAACCGGGCGCTAAGCTCAAACCTCTCTACCACCTCCCACAGCAGTTACAGAATGAATAGCCTATGGTAGCAACGGGTACACAACATCCTGAAGTACCGTTTGAATGCCTATTTGAAGGTTATTAGTTATTCTTCAAAATCTGTTACTGTACCTACTCTCTTATGGCTACAAAGTAATGTATGTTACTGTGCAATACTATGATGTTAAACCCCTAATAAAAAACCCCTTTAAAAAGAAAAATGTAAAAAAATTCAGGGAGGCTGTGCATGGTAAAGGCTGCATAAATACGCTGATTGGCCACAAGAATGAAACCGCCTGCCTAAAATTGTGTAGGAATCCTCGCGCTTCCAAAACAGCTCTGGTGCATCGAGGCATAGACTCGACAAGAACTCTGAATGTGTCCTGTGGTATCTGTCACCAAGGCATTAACAGCAGTTCCTTTAAGTCCTGCAAGTTGTGAGGCGGGCTTCCATGGATTGATTTGTTGTTCCAGTACATGCCACTGATGCTCAGTCAGATTGAGATCTGGGGAATTTGTGGGCCAAGGCAATACCTTGAACTCTTTGTCACGTTCATCAAAGAATTCCTGAACAATTTTTGCAGTGTGGTAGGGTGTATCAGCCTGCTGAAAGTGGCCACTACCATCAGGAAACACCATTGCCACGAAGGAGTGTATGTGATCTGCAACAATCTCTAGGTAGCTGTTACATGCCAAAGTAACTTCCACATGAATGCCAGGACCCAAGGTTTTTCCAGAAGAAGATTGCCCAGAGCATAAAACTGCCTCTGCCGGCCTACCTTCTTCTCGTAGTGCATCCTCCTGCAATGTCTTCCCCAAGCAAACTGTGCACCCTCACCTGGCCATTTATGTGATTTGTCAGAACAAGCAAGCTTCTTCCAGTGCTCATTTTTAATGCTCACATGGCCATTGGAGGCCCATTCACTGGTGGACAGAAATAATCATTGGCACTCTGACTGGTCTGCGTTTACACAGCCTGATACATAGGAAACCGCCATACACTGTTTGTTCTGACACTTTTCAATAATGGCCAACATTAGTGTTTCAGCAATTTCTGTCACAGTAGTTCTTCTGTGTGATCTAGACAAGTTAGCTTTCACTCTCCATGTGCATCAATGAGCCTTGGGTGTCCATAACACTAATGCTGGTTCACCAGTTGTCCTTCCTTGCACCATTTTGGTAGATACTAACTACTGCATACTGAACACCCCACAAGACATACCTTTTTTTTAGAGATTCTCTGACCCAGTCATCTTGCCATTACTATTTGTCACCTATATCTTTTTGCTTGTCTGCTTTTACTTTTTCCAATACATGAAATGCAAGAATTGACTGTTCAATTGCTGCCTAATTTATCCCAGGGTAAGTGGCCCAAAACACCATAAGTAATAAAAATCATGCTTTATAAGCAAAAAAACAAAAGAAAAAAGAGCAGAGAAAGAGAGAAAGAAGAGAAAAGATGGGGTGGACAACATTTCCTTATAAAATGTCAAACAACCTAGGAACCACAAATAGGAACCAATCACAGTGCATATTCATGCCAAGTAAATCCATAATACGATAAAATGAGGAGGACATACAGTGTAACACAGTAAGTTTGTCCATCTGCATATAATCTTTCATTTTTAATATAACTATACTTTGCCATATGTAACCAGCTTTCTGCCAGAGCTCAATGAGCAGCAAGTGTAATTTTAAACTACAACTTGCCTTCATTAGATTTAAATGACTCAATGGGTTTAAAAAGAAAGTCCAGGAGTCAAATGAGCGAGGTTTTAAAAGTACACACTCACAAAAGCAGTTTATGGAGGCTCAAAGGGGAGTCAGATGGGACAAGACCACCACTTGTGTACCTACGTTCCTTTCAGGCTCCTTTCAGGCTCCTTTCAGAAGGAATCTGCAAACGTGATGAAGTATGACGGGCGTAACATACCAAGGGAGCATAGTCTTAAACTGCTTTTCCCGAAAGGTGACGCACACTACAGATGTAGCAGTGTATTCTCACACATCTCACCAATGCTTATTTGTAACGAATCTTAAGTTCAGATTCCCATTTAATTACATAAGAAAAGTCATCCAGTCAAGAGTTGAGGTCAAAGAGGAGTAAAGTATATCAGTCAGGGCAGGATTAACATAGGGGCTGATGGAGCTGCAGCTCCAGGCCCAGGCCCAGGCCCATGAAATAGGCCCATTAAAAAAAAATATATATGATTTTTTTTTTTTACACACTACTCTTAAGTTTGCCACCTGACTTGTATTTTAAGGCACAGCCTGTATTTGAGGCTGCCTGGCCGTGACGGTATTGCAGTAATACCGGCAATACAAATGCAAATATTATTCTCAGTAAAAACGAAGATTACACTGCAATACCAGCACCGGCCAGTAGGGGGTCACTGTGTGTGGAGAGAGGCAGGGATAGGAAGGTACAGTACCTCCCTGCTTCTCTCTACTCACTGATACATGGGGGAGCAGCTACACAGCACAGACAGTCTAGACAGTAGCTCCCAGCCTGCAGAGACAGACTACAGCTCAGGTATGTGAAGGATGGGGGGAAAGGCAGCAGGGAGACATGAGACACTGAGACACTAGGTGACACATGGGGACACTGAGGCAGTAGGGGACACTGGGAGACATGGTGACACAGACACATGGGGATGCCGAGACATATGGGGACGCTGTGAGACATAGGTAGACAAATTGTCCCTAGTGTCTCCGTGTCCCAATTTGTCTACCTATGTCTCACAGCGTCCCCATGTGTCTCAGTGTCCCTGGGTCTCCCAGTGTCCCGATGTCTCACTGTGTCCACATATCTCTCAGTGTCCCCTAGTATCCTAGTGACATGGGACACACTGAGACATGGGGACAC